ATTCAGTCCCCCCCCCCGACTCCTGCGCGAAGCGCGGAAGCTTCGACGTTTCATTAAAATATTAGAGAAAGAAGACGATTCGTTGTACCGTTCTCGACTCTTAATCCTTGTCTAAATTCAGTTCCCCCCCCCCTCTCGCGCAAAGCGCGGAAGCTTAGACGTTTCATTAAATTATTAGAGAAAGAAGAAGATTTGTTGTACCGCTCTCGAAATAATTTAGTTTCCCCCTCCCGCGCAAAGCGCGGAAGCTTTCACGTTTCATTAAATCATTAGCGAAAGAAGAAGATTCGTTGTACCGTTATGACTTTTAATCCTTGTCTAAACTCAGTTTCCCCCCCCCCCTCCCACGCGAAGCGCGGAAGCTTTTACGTTTCATTAAATCATTAGAGAAAGAAGACGATTCGTTGTACCGTTCTCGACTCTTAATCCTTACCTAAATTCAGTTTTCCCCCTGTTGCATACGATGTGGGGTATTGTGACGTAAGAAGCGAAGTTTTGGTCATTTTGGTTTTTAGCCATAGAGGGCAGTAGCGAATTTGTTAGGGAAACTAAAACACGTTGTTGCAGTTAGTTATCGGCACTGAAAGTGCACCATTTTTTGGTATTTTGACACAAGCCCAATGTTGTGAGTATTTATTTACCTTTGTTTATTGAAATATGATGACTATTGTTGTGTTTGATGCTATTGGTGATAAAAATGAAGAAATGCAAATAGTGTAAAATTAAGTAAGAAAATTGTTACTCACGTACGTAAATTCACGTTGTGTGTGGGCATCCGGTTGTGTATAAAGTCATTGGTAGTCTTTCGTGCAGCCTGTTATTAAGATTTAGGTTACCGCTAAATGATATGTTGGGCCTATTATGCTTTGATAATTAATAGTGAGTCAATAGGTTGTATCAAAGGAGCTATGAACTCATCTTAGCAGAAATATGTAAAGATATTTCCTAACTCATATATATGCCATTTATTTACAGTTATTTACAAACCTGTTTATTATTTGACTGGATAAGATAAACAAATGTTTGATAGATTATTTGATTGTCATATCAGCTATGCTAAGTAGCATATTGGATGCATTATTCTAGTAATGCTCATGATTGTGTTTTTTATCTTTTATTAAAGGTTGAACCTTGCACCTGCCAGTTTGGAGTCTTGGTATCACAAAAGGGTGTCGCTGTGTTATTCATTCGTCAATGGCGTCTTTTGGTTAAGTGAATTAATCGTCAATCGTCAATTACACCCCGCTTCGACGTTTCATTAAATTTTTAGAGAATGAAGACGATTCGTTGTTCCGCTCTCGAAAATAATTTAGTGTCCCCCACCCGCGCGAAGCGCGAAAGTTTTTACCTTTCATTAAATCATTATAGAAAGAAGACGATTCGTTGTACCGTTCTCGAAAATTATCCTCGTCTGAATTCAGTTCCCCCTCCCCCCCCCCCCCCCCCCCCCCCCCCCCCCCGCGCGAAGCGCGGAAGCTTTGACGTTTCAATAATTCATTAGAGAAAGAAGACGATTCGTTGTACCGTTCTCGACTCTTAATCCTTGTCTGAATTTCAAAAATGTTCTTTGTCTATTCCCTTTTCTTCCTACGTCCTCTTCCTTTTCACTCCTCTCTTTTTTGGCCGGCGTTTATGGGGGACCACCCCACCGCTCCCCCTGGCTACGCGCCTGCAGTCAGATGAACATATGTTGAAACCTTGTCCGCCCCGGAAGCTCAGGGGTTTAAGGTTTTAATTTACGGTCAGATTTGCATTCAGGGGTCCGCCTTAGGGCCCTAGGCGGGGTCCAGGGGGTAGAGCCCAGGAAGTTCAGGAGTTTTAGGCATTTAATTATGGTCAGATGAGCATTAATTTGATACCTAATTGTTACAGTGGCAGGTCACTAATTGGCTTGGGGTTCAGGGGGCGGAGCCTCAAGGAATCTCAAGGGTTTTAGGCACTCAATTACGGTCAGATGAGTATCAAGGGGCCCGCCTAAGGGCTCTTGATTGGGTCCAGGGGGCAGAGCCCCCGGAAGCTCAGGGGTTTTAGGAGTTTAATTACGGTCAGATGAGCATTTTTGATACGTTATTATTTGTGACACTGGCAGGACACTTTTTGGCGTTGGGTCAAGGGGGCAGAGCCCCCAGAAATCAGGGGTTTTAGGCATTAAATGACCGTCAGATGAGCATCTAAGGGCCCGTCTTAGGGCCCTAGGTGGAATCCAGGGGCAGAGCCCTTGGGGTTTTAGGCATTTAATCATGATCAGATGAGCATATTTTGATACCCCATTATAATGTGACAATGGCAATTAACTATTTTTCTTTCTCGCTCTCTTTCTTTCTATTTCTCTTTAATATACTTTTTCAAAGAAAGTGTGGGGGGCGGGGGAGGCTCGATGATCCCGATCCCCGCCGTTCCGCGGGCCCTGATGTAGGGATCTCAAGAAGCATTTTCTTGCCTGGCTGTAAATTTAGGAATTTGTCGTTTTCCAACAAACGCATAAAGTGAGGAAAAATCTCGGAAAATTATCTCATTTCAGCATTATTTGTAACCCACCGTTATGGAATTAGAAATAAGCCACGTTTGAATTCTATTTCTCCAAAGCCCCCCCCCCCCTCCCCTATCAGTACGCCAACATTTTTTCTGATGTCTAAGCTTCAAGTTGATACCACATTTGGCTGCCCGATCTTGTTATTTAAGAGCCGATTTCCCTTGCCACATTGCCCCGAAAGATGTGATTTTTTTTTGGTCTGCGGCTGAATCATGAAGAATTCGTGGTTATATATCAATTCTCAATGGAGGCGCGGATGTCAGAGGACACATACAGTGTGAGTCAAACAAAAGTTAACAACTAGAAGATTGCTAAATATTTTTTAAAATCATTTATGAGCAGTAAATTATTATACATCTTATGAAAGAATGTTTTATCCCAAATTATTTGGTATCAGTTTTGCGTGGTACATGTATGTGTTCACGCTTAGATGAACAGGAGGCATTGTTTGCGAGAGTGCAAAAATCGACTTGCGCAAAAGTTGCTTATGTGATGTTTACATAAAACAATTGGGATTTGGGTATTAAATTGTTTTTTGCAGATCCAAATAACATCCCTAACAAATTTAATCATGCCACACATATCAAATATCGAATATCAAATATCAACGAACATTTGTGCGCGTGTGTGGTAGCGTGTGTGACTTTGCTTCTGTAAAAATCATATGGAACGCATTTCATTTGATACATTCAATTCACTTTGGCGCAAGTCGATTTTTGCACTCTCGCAAACTATGCCTCCTGTTCATCCAAGCGTGAAGACATACCATACAAAAATGATACCAAATGATTTGGGATAAAACACTCTTTCATAAGATGTATATTTACTGTTTACTGATTTTTTTTTTGAATAATTAGCAGTTTTCTATTTGTAAACTTTTTTTTTTTGACTCACAAGGTAGTTCAGTGCACCGCACGGCACCCAATCGGGCGCCTTGAGGTCCCGGGTCGGGCCCCAGGAGTCATGGGGTGCATCTTTTCATCAGACGGAGCACGTAAGCTTATGGAGCTCTCACACTCTGCCGTGTAGGCCTACCGTCCACCTGCCGGGCTATTAAAAAAAAAAAAAACAGAGTCCAGAACGTTGGGTTTTGAGCGAAGTTGTCCCCGACCGCAAAAAAAAATTCATAAAATTAATCTTTTCACCGTTTCGTTGCCATCTTCTGACCGTTCTCACCGGGCGCATACCGGGTGTTAAACGTGCTTCTACCGTCTTCACCGCCCAGATTGACTTTTGTTGAAAATTTTGGCCGTTTCCATACCGGGCCCATACCGGGTCTCGAACGTGTGCACCGGGTTTGTAGCAGCCACCTACCAGTCACTTAGCGTCCCCTCACCGCTCGGAGCGTCCTGTGAGCGAGTCCCCAGACTGCTGACGTCATGACACGACTGCCATAAATACCCCGATTTGAACGGCAACGGTCAGTCCGCTCTCCATTTTTCATCGACGTTCTGTAACGGGTTATGAGCGTGTTGTAAACGTGTTCATACAGTGTGACCGTTTTCATAACGTATTCATACCGTCCTCATGCTGTTCAACACCGTCCTCTTGCCGCTTACTTGCGGCCGGTGCCAGCCGGCCAAAGTTTTGAACATGCCCAAAACTTTCGCCGGGTCCCACCAGGTGTAAATAAGCGCCAACGCCCTATTAACGTGTTGCCCGCTTTGATAACGAACCACCGTGTGCCCTCACCGTTCTCCTTTCTCCGTTCTCCGTTTTCCTTGCAACATTGCCCCGAAAAAATGTGTTTATTTTGGTCCGCGGTGTCAGAACAAGTTTTATGCGCCCCCATGCGCCGTATTTTATGACCGCGAATCTTTCATGATTCAGCCGCGGACCAAAATAAACACATTTTTTCGGGGCAATGTTGCAAGGCAAATCGGCTCTAACATAATAACGGGCAGAATCGGCCAGCCAAATCTGCTATCAACTTAAGCTTAGACATCAGAAAAAATGTTGGTAATACAATTTAAGCGGAAATCCAAACATTTCCTCTGGATTTATAAAAGGTGGTAAGAGGGGTAAGAGGACATTTTTTTCTTTCTTTTGGTCCCAAAAAAATCGCAACGACTCAGCCGACCGCTGAATAAAAGGGGGGGGGGGGTTTTAGGTTTTTCTTAGGGGGGTTTACATACATAAAATTACCAAAGGTGGGGGGGGGGGGGGGGGTTAACCCCCCCCCCCCCCCCCCCCCCCCCCCTGCGTACGCGCCTGATCACGAGTATGTGAGAGAAATTTCAAATCAATAACTTTTGCATTTAAACTGTGAATAATGTAAGAATTTGTTGTTTGAAGGAGTAAATTTATACCTTTAATGTGCATACCGGAATTAAATATTTTAAATCAAATCAAATCACCAAAAAAAAAAGAGTTTTGGCGAACTTTGGTTCCTCCCTGACCCACTGTGCGGCGGCTTGCTGTGGATTTAGAGACCGTACGGGAACCTTCCGATTTTCATTTCTACGGCATGTGTGGTCACATATTCTGCTGCGCCAGGGAGATGCCCGGTGAAAAACTGTCGATTGAAATGCAAGGCGCCCGTAAGGATGCCGGCAGGGTGCCCGGCCGGTAAGCTTACGGGCTCCGCCCGATGAGCAGGTGCACCCATGGCTCTCGGAAGATGCCCTGCCGGCGCCAGGCCGGGGTCATCAAGGCGCCCGGCCGGGTCCCGTGCGGTGCATTGAACTATGACATTGTGTCCTCTGACATCCGCACCTCCTGTATTTAAAGCTGCGTTGTACATTTTGAGATGCCGTCGTGAGGGACCCGCACGGGCAATATTCATCTCAAATGGCCCCCGGGCGACAGACGCCTGTTGTTGTCCATGTCATGTAAATTTACATCCAATTATGAAATACATTCTTATGAAACTCGTTGAGCTGGTAATTTCCATTTTCCTAAAATCCGTACAAATGTTTCAAAAAATACAATTTTTTAAAGGACCAGTTTTATGCAAAAATATCCCGTCTAATATGAAAAACTCCAATTCAATGGATATTTTTAAACGATTGTATAAATCCCATCTTTTATCATTGTATTCAATCTCAAAATATATGACGTCACGTTTCAGTTAATGCACTTTGTAATGTATTCCCCCTCCCCTTCCCTTCTCCTTTCGTTTTCTCCCTTTTGTATTGGTGTTTAGGTTTTTCTCTCATTTTCTTTTCTCAACAATACAGTGTATATTTTTAAGGGGTTGACGTTCATAAGCCTAATTGCCCTTTTTGTTAACCCTACATTCCCATGATTTTTTTGTTGCTCCTTCCCTTTGTATTTTTCTTATTATCGATCTTTATTTGTATATATGTCATGTTTATATGTTTTAATGTTTTTATGGAGAATGAAATAAATGAAAATGAAATGAAATCACCCGGGGCTCTTGAGGGGCCCATGAGGGAGCCGTAGGGTGCATGTTCGGAACCCTTGAGCACCGCAAGGCGCACGTAAAGATTTTTCATGAGAATTGACCCCCCAAAAATCGTGAGGGGCCCGTCCGGAGCCCGCATGGGACCCGTAAGGTGCCCTACGGGCCCTTTACGGGCTTTCTACGGCCTAACGGTCAAATAACAACGCCGGGAGAATTGGGAGCAGCCAACTCAGCACCAAGGCGCCCGTACGGCTTAACAAAACTGTCCCGGCGCCCGTAGGAACTTTACAGCAGCCGGCCCGACACCGGCCGAAAATTCCCAAAGGCCCGGTCACACAGCCCTCCACGGGCGTATCGCGGCCGAATCACGGCCAAAAATTTCTGCCCGTGAAGCAGACGCTGTTGGACGCTTTGAGGTCGCGATAAAGACGCGATACAGCCGTACTTTACCCGTCGTTACACGCGGTTGGCCGCGCGAAAAAGTTTTGGGCTGCCCAAAAATTTAGACCGCGGGTAATCGCGGGCGGTACACGTGGTACACGTGGTACACACGCGGTAAAGACGCGGTACAGACGCGGAACGAACGTGCTAGCACGTGCTACGGCCGCGGTTAAGACGTGGTTACACGCGGAATTGGACGCGAAATTTTAGCGGGTAATCGCGGGTGGAGCACGGTCATAGCACGTTTGTTCCGCGTCTGTACCGCGTTGTTATCACGTGCATTAGCGTGTGTACCGCGTGTAAGCGTGGTAGGCCGCGGTACCGCCGCGCTTCACCCGCGATAAGGACGCGGAACAGTCGCCGGCGTCTGTTCCGCGGGCATACCACGGGTAAACCGCGGGTAAGCCAATTTTGCACATTTTCCACCACGGGCAACCGCGGGCAAAAAAAAAATCGCGAAATTTTACCCGCGATACAGACGCGAAAGGCTGTGTGACCGGGCCTCAACATTTCTGTTTTTTCTCGCCGTAAGGGCCCCGGAGTATATATGTGCAAGCCCCATTATGAGCGCTTTGCATTTTAACTCGAACGATTTTATGTAGCTCGCAAGTGTTGCTGATTTGTGTTTGATTGATAGCAACTTCAAAAATTCAAAACTTTCTCACTTTTAATCATAATTTGCTCAAACTTTCACTGACCGGTTCCTCTCGTTTTCCTGCGTCTATTAAAATCAGCTTATTATGCGGGTGGACTTTCCTTTTAACTTGTTGAATTGAATTCAGTATTATACATACCTCTAATAGACATCTCCGATTACCTCGCATTTGGTTTGTTAGACTCGTCATAATACAATAACAGTTCCATGTATGAACTGGGCCCTGTAACACAGAGCTTTGCAGTTGATATTGCAATTCAGTTTTGCGATGGATTGCACAAAGTTATTGATGCAATCAATCACAAAAATATATTGTACAATCAATTGCTAAGCTTTACGTATTGAAGGGGTGTAGCATGACAAGGCTACGTGTCTTTCCCGTGGCCTGACTCGGGGCCAATCGGGTATAAAACCACTACGGACGACGCGACCGCAGTATTCACATGCGTGCAAATACGCGAAACCGAAGTGTGAGGAGAACTTCGTCCTGTTTCGCGAACGCTAGCGCGCGCTGACCATGTAGAGATTAAGTCGCTGACTACTCGTTTACGTGCAGTTGTCCAAAAGAAGTCGCAATCAGCGTTTACCAGTATTTCCCATGCTACACCCCCTTTAAGCGCTTTGTAAATCTAGATTTATCATTATCATACAATTCTTTCCTTTAAGTATCCCAATGATTTTGTTGTGCAAGAAAGAAAGAAAAGAATTCTCACGTACATTAATATATATTTTCCTTTGTCTATTGCTATGGATGTGAAACAGAAGAGTTCATTAAAGACGCAGAAGACTGGTATCTTTTCTTACCGAAGAACAACCTGACATATTCAATGGCAACTAACAGGAAAATAAGCACTCATTCTCCAGGAAGATTCTATGTGAGGGTATAGTATTATTGAACCTGAAAAAGCAATCAAATAATCAAACCAAAATAAAATCATTAACATTTTCTAGTATGAAATGAAATTAAACAAGGTTTAAAAAGTCTTCAGTCCATACATATAGCAGCAAGCCAGTAACAAATTAAGAAATGTTCATTCATACACTGTGTAATGGCTAAAATCATACAGTGCGGCATATTTTTTCATTTTTTATTATTTGAAGTTTGAAGTTTTTTATTGATCCAATAATATTTTACATTCAACATAAACATAATACAAAAAAAAGACATTTATATCCATGTATTCTTTATGCCGTATTATGTAATTTCCTATAATATTTAGTGGCATACCTACACTGTTGGTCATAAAGGTGGAATTATTATTTTTACCCCAATTTATGGAATGATTTTGACAATGATTTATTCCTAATAGATCTAATTAATAGTATACATTCTCAGATTTTATTGAACAATAATTTGCGAGTGCTTGTTTTGCGTAACTGCTAAAGCATGTGTGTATGCTAATCAACTAGGGGACGTACGCCCTTAAGTCATAACTGAAAGTAATGAGGATTAATGCCTCACAAAAGGGCACTAATATAGCTGATCGACAGGGTTTTTGTCCTGGGGCCTCACAGTATCGAGGCCATTGCTTAGCCACTGAATCATTACTATACGGAGCCGGGGCTAGGGTACGGGGCCGCCCCACAAATACAAGAAAAAAAAGAAAATGCAATAAATTATCAATAATGCATTGTATTTCCCCGGTCCCCAACAGGAAGAAAATCCCCTGTAGGGCCATGCATTATGGTTCAAGGCATGGCCACACAGACAATTTGTTTTATTTAATTTTATCTTAACGTGACCGCGCGCGAAAGGAGACCTGACCTCTCATTTCCGCTTCCGTTTCACGACCGCAGTAGCAAAATGCGCACCTATACGGCGTTTCGCTGTGTAGAGTTTCGGGATTACTTTCTTGTGTGTGTGGACGCCCTAGAATTTATACGACGTTTCGTTATAGAGTTTCGGGATAAAATAAATTGTGTATGGACACGCTGTTAGTCTACATATCCTTCAGCGTGTCCACATACAATTTGTTTTAATCCCGAAACTCTATGAATAAATGTCGTGTAAAGAATCATCGTAAAAATGCCATGCTGCATTTATATAGCTAACATTTTCCATCGATAATAGGACAAGTGAAAACATCATACAGTCCTCATTCTTTAAAAAAAAATAAAGATGAGATGAAGAAATGTTTAGCCATTTCCAAAATGTTACTCCCCTTTATTATTTGTTTTCCCCTTCTTGATACTTTTTGTTCAACAGCTCAATAAGCAAAGAGTGGTGTAACATTCAGTGTGTGTAATAAAGCACAGATGATGGTAAAAAGAACTTGCAGAATCCAAGAAAGAGAGATATGTGCTAACCACACTCAAATCTTAATACATTCTTTGTGATAATTTATTCAAACCTCATGTGAATAGTTTGGCACTTCTAGACATGTTCATGTGCAGAGATCTTCTATAATGGTCATTTATACTAGGCTGTTTAAAAAGAAGCACCACAGCACTTAACATGTAAACAGTATAGGAAAAATACAGAAACTAGCTCTGTGGACAAAGATGGGTTTTCGTTATGTATGAGGATTGATTTTCTATCTATTACCATTTATGCTGCAAACCCAGTCATTTATAGAAGGGTGGGATATTTCTTTCCCATAGGAGAAATAAAAGAGAATTCTTTGGGCAGTTAGAAGTTAATAGATAGAAATTATATAAGATGTAAAGAATAATAAATACTAACTAACTCATTCTCCTTCAGCTCGTACAGTCTTTTTCTTTTATATCAGTGACCGTGATATACATTGTACGAACAATAATTCATAATTGCTCAAAGATATCTTTTGTTCGTATACCATGGTAATATTCTTATTTCTTCAGATGTGTAAAGGTCAACGGGAAATTGCTGCTCGTTTCATATATCAGATAGCTTTTAAACATAAAATAGCAGCATTAAAGAAACATATACTCATGCATGATGATGCAGTTCATAAATGTAATTCATTATTGTCAAGTACAAATTCATATCTGATATGATAGATTCAGCCTTAACTTGAGAGAGAACAAACGATTATATGGGGCCAGTCACCACGAAATGAGTCCAGTGTCGCATTAGGCTCAATCGTAGTAATAGCGATGTATAGTGTGTATGTACTGAAAATTGAC